GGCGTGGTGGTTTCAGATCTTGCAGACAAAACTCCTGAGAAGTACATTTCATTTCAAACAGTCAAACGATTAGGAATGTATCTGTTCCTTCTTTACCAGGAAATGCAATTAGTACTGAATTTTTCCAACTTCACGTTTATCCTGCGAATTTGTGTTTTAGGTTCCTCGCTTTAAGTTCCCCGTTCAGCAGTACCCAGTGTCTTTGCAAATCTTTACAAGAAGTGGAAGTCTGCCTGTGGAGATTCCCTATCTGGTCACTGTGACTGAAGTAAACAAGAGGGAAAACTGGGTGCTCAGTAAGGTCTCCTCTCTTCTTAATCTTGTGTTTTATAAGTGACACTGCTATTATCTGTACCTGTTCTCCGCAACCCCTAGTGATGTCGACAGCTGCGAGGTCTTGGGCTCGGGGCTCAAATCTGCTGACTGTTTGCTTCTACTGCCCCCCGCTGACTCCCTTCACCTTTCCAGACTCTAGTTCTGTGGCTGAAGCATTATTTTTATGACAAATTTGAACTGAAAAAAAAACTGAAAGCTATTTTGTAGATCATAGCCAAAGATGTTGATTAGACTTTAGCCACATGCGGATGTCTCCTTCATTTCTTTTCTTTGTTCCTTGTTTGCTCAGTAGAAGTTACAAAATAGGGAGATTTGGCCAGATAATTTGTAGGATTGACCGTGCACATTAGGGAACACACACATAGACATGGTCATGCCCGCGGGTAAGCAGGATCTATTTTATATGAGCAAAGTTTCTTAATCTCTTTGAAGAAGAAAAAGGTCATTTACTGTCATTCACTTCTACCACAAATGTGATTTTTCTTGGACATCTTGTGTTTATTCACGTCGGATGACTGGATGTTGTGGTAGTTGTTGTTGTGATGGGCTGCTAAGTCCATTCTGAGTCATGGCAGCCTCCGTGCCCCACAGAACAAAAGTCTCCTCACAGTTGTCGTTACGTTTGAGCCCATGGCTGTAGCCACTGCGTCAATCCATCTTGACAAGGGTCGTCCTCGTTCCCACCGCCCCTCCCCTTCCCCAAGCACAATGTCCTTCTCCAGGGACTGGTCTCTTCTGACAACATGTCCAAAGATAAAGCCTTGCCATCCATACCTTTAAGGAGCATTCTAGCTGTACTTCCTCCAAGACAGAGAGCCAAAATACAACCTGGAGTATTTGCCCCTGGAACTCTGAGAACAAGAACACAATTGGTTCATTGAACACTAATGATCGAAGGCATCGAGAGCATCATCCCACACGAAGAGAGCGAAAGGTCATTAAGAGACAGGAAAGAAAGAAAAGCTCACCGTGGATGTCAGGGGAGTCTGTAGTGGGCTCCTCAGCCTAGAGTTAGCTGAGGCATGGAAGAAATGATGAAGTCCAAGAGCAGAACAGGACATTTCAAGGGCAGCTGGAGAAGACAACGCAAAATATTATAAAGAAATGTGTAGACCTAGAGTTAGAAAACCAAAAAGACAGAATGTGCTCAGCGTATCTTAAACCAAAAGAACTCAAGAGAAAATCTGCGCCTTGAGTTGCAAATTGAAAACTTCTACGGGCAAAATCTAGCTGCATATTCTTGCTATGGGTTGCCATTCAGTTGGTTCAGGGCCAACGCGTGCCACCCCCATCCAAACACAGCCCTGGAGCCAATGCTGACTCGCAGTGATCCTGTAGGACTGGGTAGGCTTGCCCCCAGTGAGTTTTGAGACTGCAACCCTTGACCGGAGTAGGAAGCCCTGGCTTCCCTCCAGGGAGCGACTGGTGGTTTTGAACTGCTGGTCTTCTGCTTAGCAACCCAACTTGTAACCACTATGCCCTCAGGGCTCCTCTGCCAACCCTTATGGGCAAAAGTAAAGTGTTGCCTGGTCCTGAATCATTGTGGTAGTTACATAATGCCGTGTCAACTTGAAGTATAGGGGTGGAGTGTAGCCTGTCAATCAGGTCACAGCCTGATGGTACCTCCTGATGGGCATGGCCTTCTCAGAAGGACGATCCTGGAAACTCCCTCTCTCTCTTTCTGCCTTTACCCATCACTTGGAGAGTGGCCAGAGCTACCAGCATTGGATCCACCGGACTTTGCACCTCTGTCCCTGCATTCTGCATCATTGTATATGGCTTCCTGAGTCTGAAGAAGGATTTACGGACTAGTACCAGACTTAAGGACTTGATCTGGACTGGACTGGGATAGATAATGACTCCTTGATCTAAAGTCCTTTCTTCTACATAGATGAGTGTCCCTGTGTTTGTTTCTCTAGTCAACCTGGCCTAGCACAGCCATCTACATGGGGGAGCCACAGTGTTAATCCACCTCAGTAAGGTTTTCCTCCTCTCACGATGTGATGTCCTTCTCTGGAAATCTTTCCTGGTGTTCCCTGATGACCCCCAACACTGGGCTGAGCAGCATGATCTCGTGACTCATAGGGTTTTCAGGGATGGATTTTTGCAGGTGGATCACCAAGCCCTTTTCTTTCTTCTG